AGTTCCCTGGAATAGCAGAGATGCTCTTTGTCTCATGGCAATCCATTCAAGTTAAACTGAATGTTTTCCTATGCCTGCTTGCTTTTTTTAATCAAGTGTTTGGTGGCCTCTCAAAAAAACCAAAAAAGAACCCAAATGGGCATGAACTCCCTGTCCACAACGGCTGGGCACCTGTACCTTGGAGAGAACAGAGGCAGGCAGAGTGCTGAAGCTGAAAAGCAGAGTGGCAGGACAGAAAGAAGGATGGAAGAGGTCACACTTCACCCTTTATTTCCCCAGACAGAACACACAACCCAGAAGTCCTTCCCTCATTCATCAAATAACAACCTTACCGAGTAAGGCAATTACCTGAATTAGAAATCACCACTGAAGGCTCAAATCCCATTTAGGGATTTTTTTAAGGTCAACAGGGGAAGTTTATACCTCCGGGTAACATCATTAAAAAGAAAAAGCAAAACAACAACAAAAAAAAGGGGACTAAACCTCACAATACCAAGAGGTTCTGTGGGAGAAACTAATTTGCAAGAAGGTTACTTGGGTTGAAATCAAAGCTCTTGAAAATTAGGAAGCAGCACACTTAGAACAGCATATGCCTTTTGCTCCATTTGCATTAATCCTCTTCTTAACTGTTAGGATCACATACTACTTTTCCTGAAAACTGTTGGCTCTCTGATACCAGGGTGGCTCACAACACAGAACTGTATCTGCAGAACCCTTAATCAAATATCTGCTGACTTACAAGTCTGACTTTGCACCAGTATATTTGAAGATACATTTCAAATGTAGTTTCATTTGTGTGTAATGCCATAGGGGCACGTGGGGCTTTACAGGATGCAAGGAAAGATACAATAATTGCCACAAAGAAATTGTAGTTGAAACACATCAAAGAAACAATGAACCCTAGACAAGATAAAATGAAAGAATGAAAATGAGACAGGGAGAACCTGTTCATGCTGAAAATATTATTATTTTGAATAAAGCAAGGGATAAGTATTCTATAATGCTTAGTCAAAGACAAAAGTATGATTAGAAAACCTCCATTGCTGCTTGAGTTTACAAGAAGACCTGTCTTCACTCTCCTCATGCAAAACCAGCAATTTCAACAGGATTGTATGGAGGTAACAGCTCATTGGGAACTCATAACTAAATTAAGAATTAAACCCTAATACATCACACCTGTCACACCAAATCCTAAGCCCAGCAAACAGGTGGGCTGAACTATGACAGAGGCTGAAGTAACCCTGCCACCTTCAGCCAGCTGCTGCCCACAATGCACCACCCAAGAATTTGGTGGAAGAAAGGCTTTGATTCACCTTGGGCAGGAACCTCTAGAGCCAAAGAACGAACAACAGCCACGTTCTACCCCACAGAAACCAACTTTAACCATTTTTCTCTTGAAGACAGCACTTCAACAAGTATGCTCATGTCCACCTATACTACAAAGATACTCCCAAAAGTACTGTCACAGAGTTCAGAAATTTTTTCCAAGTCAAAAAAATCCCAAACTCTCCCTTTTCCAACCCCGCAGATTCCAGACTTAGCCCTCATATTATGAAAGCCAAAATGAGCCTGGCAAACATGTTTCACCAGCACACAGTATCACTCCAGAACCAGTGAGGAGAGGAAAAGTAGGAATCAAATCTCAGTCTTCCTCTCATATACCAACTAGCAATGACGATTCTTCAAATAGCATATACTTGACACTTCTGATGATAATACATGCAGCAGAAAGGACTCCAGCTCACTCTCCTATGTCAATATTGGTTCTGCAGTGTTCGTAAGGATTAAGTATTTTGACTGTTAGGTAATCCCATTGTCCAGGAAGCAGATTAGCTCAGCACCACTATATAGAAATAACACCTCGTTTGTTGCTCTGATAGAGTATGCAGATAGTTTTATACTGCATAGCACAATTCAATTAATTGTTGTGCTATTGCCAGGTAATGCAACTTATTTAAACAGATACTGATGATATAGGTAAATTTTAGTCATGTCAGGATCTCGAAGGGCAATGCAGTTCCTCCTCCTGACTGGGACATAATCCCATGTTCCAACACTGGAACCATGGGCTTCATCGTGCTGGGGGTTTTGTGAGTCCTGTCCCTCTGTGCCCAAAGTGATCTGTGATGCAACATCACTGCAGAGTCAGACTCCGCAGCACAGAGACCACGAGAGGCGGAACAGCAGCTGCCAGGGACCCAGAGTTTGGGGAGTCACCACTGACCCCAAGCTGCAGTAACAGCACGACAGTACTGGGGGCCGGGAGAGGGGAAGTGTAGGGAGCATCTTGGACAGGGCACCTTCAGAGCTGTAATCATGCCTACACCCAACTAACCTTTGGGAACAGACACAGTGACAGGGAAAACAGCTACACTGCGTGCTATGTTCTGCATTTATGCTGTCAGTCACAATCTGAGAATATCTGAGCGGAGTAGCAGGCTTGCACTGGTACTCACATTGCAAGCATACAGAGCTCACATCTTAATTTTCTTACTGACCTTTTCATACACCAGTTGGAGTCAAGATCTTTATCTCACCTACTACTCCAGTTCTGAAGCTGAAATAGCTGATGTGTACTCTTGCTACTTGTTCTCTTTGTCCACTGCTGTCTTTAGCACAATTACTACCTGCTAACCACATCTAACTTCGGGTGCAACTTCCACCTCTTTTCGCCCTTCAGGCAAAATCCCCACCTTGCACTGAACGAGTCAGTTTTACAATCCAATGGGCAGCATCAGGACAGAGCTGCAAAAACTCCACTTTGTTCAGAAACAGAGGAATGAGTACGAACTGCTTCGGGAATGGGCTCTTAGTTCACACAGTCCCTTCCCTGACTGCAAGCACACTCTTCCTGCATTTAGGAACCATAACACGTTTGAAGAAGAACACACTTGCTTCTTATTCCACATCCTCTGTAACTGAGAGGTATTCCCCCCCTTCTCTGCACAGAGGAGACTGCCCCACAATACAGACATTGTTCTCAACGTCGAGGAATGGCTTTTCCCATATAAGATACTTGCTGCACAATGTTAATCGTGGTATCTCGCTGCAGAGCACTTATGTGCTACTATTGCATGGTCTAATTTATAATCCCCACCTAATGTGACTGTGTTAGTAATAATCCTTTTACAAGTGTCCTGCAGGAACTTGCAGTATCTTCACAGGAGCTACCAAAAAATAACTATCACTATTGTCTCACCCGATCCACACTTGGGTAATAATGTTATACAGCACATTAAAAGAACACAGTTTGCTTACCTTTCTTGGTGCAAGTTCCAGTAATAAGTCTCGCAAAAAGAGTAGGATTCCTAACAGTCACTCCACAAAGCAGCAATTTCTGACTGTGTGCCTATGACAGCAGCCCTGTGTTCAGACAAATGAGCCTTCTCTGCTGTGGCAGAGAATGAGCATTCACAGCTGTAAACACCCCTACATCGTTACTCACTTTACTTCTTTTACATGTACCATCTTTGGCAGCTGTTACAATGGTGTCAGGTGTGTGCTCTATTTAACACAGACCTTGTAGATCGGTTTGCTCTCAAGCCCACATGTAAGAACCAAGAAATTCTGCTGGAGACACATTTAGCAGAACCTTTTCCTGTACATTCAGCAAGCTAACAAGCGTAGAAACCAAGCACACCCATGGACTATTCTCCTTAAGAAAAGTTACTGTGACATGCCGTCTTGTTACAGCTCATCAATCCTCACGATTTAGATTTCACCTCTACAAATATAACAAAAAAGGCCTATCACATTTATTACATTTTTATGCAAGGCAAACCAAAAAGTCCCTGGTTAAGAGCACTCTAAATGGATTTCAACTTCAGAGAAGAAACTATAGTTCCTTTTCTGGTTGGGGCAAGCAATGATGCTGCTCCGGGACGGGGGATTTCCAAGAAGTGCTGCAGCACCTTTACAGACCTGGAGCGCTCTCGGTGAAGGCACTGCTGAGGCACCACACGTTGGGTGGGTTTGCCCGCACGGAGAATAAAAGCGACTTTCACGCTGAGGCACCGCCGGGGCCGTCCGTACCCGGGAGCCGCACGGCACAAGTTGTGCGGGGCGCGGGGGCCGGGCCGAGCGGCGGTGCCGGGGGGCTGCGGAGCGGGAGGTGCCCCAGAGCCCCCTCGGCCCCCTCCCCGAGGGGGTAACGCCGCTCCGGCCGCGACCCTCAGCCCGCCCGGCCCGGCGGACCCCGCGCAGGGTCCCGAGCGCCCCCGGCCCCACCGCCGACAAACTTTGTCCCGCGCGGAGCGGCTGCCCCGGCACCGCCGGCGAGGGGGGCCCGCCGGGCCGCCCTGCCCGGCCCCGGGGGCGCGCACGGCCGCGCTGGGACACGGCACCGACCCGCCGCCCGCACCGGAGCACGGCACGGCCCCGCTTCCCGGGCACGGCACGGCCCCGCTTCCCCGGCACGGCACCGACCCGCTTCCCCGGCACGGCACCGACCCGCTTCCCCGGCACGGCACTGCCCGCACCGGAGCACAGCACGGCCCCGCTGCCCGGGCACGGCACGGCCCCGCGGCCGGAGCACGGCCCGCACCGGGGCTCCCCTCACGCCGCCGGGGCTCCCCCCGCACGTACCTGCTCTGCCCGCGCCACCGGCGTCCTGCGCGCGCCCCACGCGGGGACGGGGAGGGACCCGGGGCCGCCCGCGCGCGGCCCCGCGCGCGCCGCCCGCGCCCGTTCCCTTGGCGACGCTGGGCCGGCGCGCGCGCGCGCGCGCGCGGGTCGCTCCGCGGGAGCGCGGGTGGGGGGGGCGCGCGCGCGTCACGCGCGCGGCGCGGGGCCAATGGCGGCGGCGGGCGGCGCGCGCTGGAGTACTACGGGCACGGCCCCGCCCCCCCGCGCGCGACCCCCGCGCGGGCACCGGAGCGGCGACGGAGCGGCGACACATCGCGACAGACCGCGGGACACGGCGGGACACACCGCGGGACACACCGCGGGACACGGCGGGACACACCGCGGGACACACCGCGGGACACGGCGGGACACGGCGGGACACACCGCGGGACACACCGCGGGACACGGCGGGACACGGCGGGACACACCGCGACACAGCGGGACCCGCATCGCCGCCCCGCGCGGCGCCGCCGGGGCCGGGATTGCATAACGGCGCCGGAGCGAGCAGCTGCGGGATTGCACCCTGCGGATTAGGGATTACGTTGATTCAGCAGATTGCCCGGTGCATGTCTGAGAAAGATTACAGCAGCAGAGTTAAGAATACCCCTGTGCTGCGGTAAGCCGTGGTTTCACTAGAGCAAATTAACTCAAAACAAAATTAAATGCACCAAAAAAAAAAAAGAGAGAAAAAAGAAAGGAAGTAAACCAACCCAAGGTTAAGAATGTGCTTTAAATGGACAAAATAAATGGGACTGGAATTCAGCTTTTGAGTTATCCGCCCTATGCTGTAATAGGAACCAGCTCTCTGGATAAATCTTAAAAAATCTAAATCAGTACAATGAACACTAGTTACATTTGATTCCTGATGAGTACCATGTAAAAGTAAATATCTAAACTCTCACGATAAACATTTTGTAGTAACTCAAAATTATTTAAGAGGCACCGGTCAATTTGATTCTGTCACCATGTGCTAAACTGTCTTCTTGTACAGAGTTTGTAACAGGGATTTTTAGAGTTCTGATCACTGGATCTGAGGTTACTGACACTGGGGAGCTGACATTGTGGGGTCACTACATCTGCCACTGAGGTGTGAGTAAAAATTAACCATGCACTGAGAACCTTTAAATTGCATTAATTTCAGTTGATTTCTTACAAGAGTTGATGAAACTTGGAAGCAAAAGTGCCACAGAAGAAATCATCAAGCACACAGAATGAAAGAATAGTGTTGTGGGGGTTTTTTCCCAAGCTTGGTAGTGATCTTTTTTAATGCGTGTTGCGAAATTTATTAATTCCCCCCACATAAGCACACACAGGCTCGAGACTGGAATCTCTATCTCAAAATTACGAATTTGTAGTTATATTTGACAGAAGCTCAACTTTGTAGCTTTGCCAATGTCTGTATGAATATCTCATACAGTAGAACTGGGGTTTCTGATGGAAATTTGCAGTTGGTTGCAAACTGCTTGGGAAATTTTAGGAATGGAAAGTGTCCCTTTAAAGTCACTGTAATCTCTCAAATTGCAATTTCAACACCATGACAAGAGCTTTAGGCTGCTGTTGTAGTACATAATTAATCCTAGGTGTACTTCAGTGGATAAAATCAAAACGTAAACCTAAAGTTTTGCTGTAGGCATTTCTAAGACAAGAGGACTCAGTAATTTGTTGTCATCTCAGAAAACTGTAATGGAAAGAATTTTAAACAACTGTAGTCAAAAAAATTAACCTGTAAGACAAAGCACACTGAGATTTGTGAGCTATTTATGACCTGCCTTTGCTTCTGCCTTTTGTTAGAATTCCCTCACGTTGTGGCTGTCCTATCCTAAAAGAAACTTTCAGGGTGTAAATTTGTCCTTATACAGATTTGTTGTAACATCTCACCTTGAATTCTTCCTTAGAGGGATCCTCATTTGTGTCAGGCAGTTCAATGGATTTTTTTTCTGACACCTGATGATTTTCTGTGCTCAGATCAGTTATGAGCTTCAGGTGGGGAGGGGATGAGAAGTTATACCTAGATGAGAAAAAACAGACTCCTTTTAACAAGACTTCAGGACAGGTCCTGGCTCTTGGAGAAAATAAGAGGTGTAGGTTACTAACTGCTTGACAGATACCAAGGACATATCTCAGAAGGAAAGTTGTATTTAATTAGCTCAGTAAGCAATTTTTGAAACCTTTTCTGTTCACTGTTTTCACAACACAAATATTTGAGCTCAATATTGGGGCAGAATGAGATTTTACTTTATTTTTTAAAAGAATACATAATGCAGTAAAATCTCATTCTTTATGATGGCTGTAAAATGCAAAACTTAATCTAAATGTGTATTTGAAATAGCCACATGACCAAAATGATCTTTAATTTGTGGGAGTGTTTACATAGAGATTAATTTTAAGAATGTTTGAATAACAAAGAACCATAAAACAAAGCCCAAATCGCTATTCAGGGCTTGCTTTTTCTCTGCTCACTAAGACTTACAGTTACATTCTTTGGGGGGGTACAGCATCTCATGGATGCTTGGGCCAGCTAACCAGTAAAAGTACCCAAACTCAAGAGGCAAAGCAGATTCTGATTTAAATATGTGGGGAGTAAAGCACACAGGTTCGTTTAAAGACAAACCCAGCGAGTTCAAAACAGTTGTTCCAATATATCTCAGTATGCACAGGTGACTTAAATGTCTAAACTGTAACATTTCCAACAACATACAGCTGTTGTTTAGTGCCAGTTTAGATGGCAAAGATGTGGGGGAAAGGATAGAACTGATCTGAAGCTTTTTTTCAACGAGCTGGCACAGAGCAAAATAGGCTGTATTTTAAATTTCAGGTAAAAATGCTCCAACTGGATACACAGAATAACTTTTCAGGAGCTCCCAAGATGCATGCAAGATACACAATCGAGCACTCATACAACTGGATCTGTAGTTTCTGTGAGCATAGGCTACATCTGCCTCTTAAGAGGAAGACAGATTGGAAAGTGGAAGGTAGAAGCACAAATGATCTTTGTGTTTCTAGTATGAACTCAGTGCACAGATAGGTTTAGGCAAGTTGGAATAGAGTTTAGCAACAATTTCTGTGGTAGTATTTCCTTTTCTTTAAATATATCATCCTATTTCTAATGAGACAGGGACTCCAATCTGTTCTTTATAGGACACTTATACATACTCGAACCTCTTTTCAGAGTGCAGCACCCCAGAGAAAAACTCATAAATACATGACTACCTAATGATTTATTTCCTCTTCAGTCTTAAAAAAGAAAAAATAGAGAACTAGTGGTCCCATGGCCTCCCTCAGGCTGCCTTGTTGTCTGCAGTCAGCCTATAAACCATGTGTAGTACCCGTCACAATGAGAACTAGTCCAAACAGTGATGAGTGGCACAGCACACCCCTGTAACACACTGATGCAGCAGAAAACCTCAGCTTCCCCATGGGATTTTCTGCCAGATCACTGGATTTAAGCATCTCCTGAAAAAGTTCAGCTTACACCCGGAGCAGCAGCAGAGACAGTGAGGTGCATACTGATAGTAAGGAAAGACGAGAGATCTCCTTTTTGCAGTAGCAAAACTAAAGTTATTCTGTCAATTCAAGGACTCCTAATTAAATCTGGTACAGGAGCTAGTCTGAAATTTAGGTGATATATCCTGTTTATATTTTCTGTTATGAGAGCTATTGGATATTTACCATTTTGTGGAACTTCCTGTGAAAAGGGAGACTAAATTAACAAGGACTGCTTGCTCCAATTAGATACAAATTTAAATCAGATTTTTGACTGCTGTGTAAAATATATTTATGATGCAATTTGTGTGAGATAGACTATGTGAATATTTTGAATTCAGCAATAAACTGTAGTGCTGGTAACGCTAGAAAAACATGCAAGTGATTCTGTGAGCATAATGGGGTGTTCCCCTATTCTGTGCTTTGCCTCTGCAAGGATGTTTGTCTTTGCTGTAACCTCACCCACATTGCACTGTATGTAAATGTGAAGCCTTTTTCACAGCACATAAAATCCAGATCTCGACTGCAGGAGAAACCTACCTGCAGGATGATTTATTTCTTTTAAAGCCAGGATTTTAGTTCTGAAGCGACTCCTGTTCATCTGTCTCTTTGTGCAATGTTAATTGTTCTCGTTGTGCACACAAAGGTTGTGTATCTGAGGCAGCTCAAGAGGACGCCTTTGGGTGGGGACCTTGCTGTTACAGCCCAGTGTGACAGGCAACTGCCATTTCAGATTTTCCTGTATGGACAGGACACGTGAAAACTAGAGAAGCCACCTGAGGTCCCATGAAAACCAGAACTGTCTGCTCATAAAGTAAGTACAAATGCATTATACCTTCTGAAATGGGCCTCTGCAGAAAGTTGGTTTTCTGTTACTGAAAGCTGAAGGATAGGCAATTATTCCTCGTAAAGCTGAGACTTTATTTTATTTGATCATTTAATGGGAAAAAGATTCTTCTTTCCAATAAAGAGCAGTTTGCTTAAATAATTGCTTTACGTACACTTTAAAGTATAATTAAGAAAAAAGAGCAAACATGAAAAAATAGGATGATCTATTGCATTAGGCTTAAACATAACCTATTTGGTACAGTAAACCTTGACTATACCTAACAAGAAAACAGAATATAGCAAGGCTAGCTGGTTATAGAGTTGGCATATCTACAGAATAAGTTTCTTTTAGCATTGTCAAGTGAAGATTGGTTTCTGTCCAGGCAGAGAGTTTCTATTCCAGATTTTAAAGATCATTGTACAAGCCTTGACCTTGCTGAGTTCTGATAAATTCACAGCCTGTATTACTAATTCCACCTGACATCCAGACATGAGAAACACTCAACTGGAACACACAAACTCTCAGTGAGAAATGACAAATTGGGGAGTTCTTGTTTGTGGAATGCAAGAATTCTACCACCAAGACCTTACCTGACTGAATAATCAGCAGTCTGAGGACTGGGGCAGTTGTGTGCACTGTCTTTCAAGGTGCAAATGCCAATCTAATGAGCTGGCCAGAAACAATCAATTCGATTGCCTAAGTGCACAGGTATGGCAATTCTGAATAAGCATGGCAGTTTGAAAAAAGCATTCATTGTTTCAATATGCTTTAGTGTGAATTTGGTTTTACTCTGCCTTTAGGGATTCACTGAACTGGATAGCAGACCTGAATGTTTGCCATTAACTGTGAATTAATGGAGCTCACATCTGACAGAACCTCACTGTCACAGTGCAGCAGACTCTTAGCAGCAACACTAAGTTGCATTCCAGTAGCTGTCTCTTCAGGGGAAAAAGTCATCAGGTTTAAAAATGACATGCTCAACTTCCATGTTTGTCTTCAGGTGCTGTTTTAGAAGAGTAGCCTCTGACCAAGAATAAAAATTGTTGTCGGAATAATATGCGAACAGGTAATTTCTTCCAAGTCTTCACCTGGATACACATACATGTATAATTAGAATTCATTAATATTGCCTTGAATTTAGGAGCTGCCCCTGGGATTGTCACAACTGCTCTGTAGAGCTGCCATCCCTTATTAGAGTTCACCTGCTGATGGTACAAATTCTGTAAGGGCATGTTTGCTTTGATCAATCCTAACGTTTCACACTTTGTGACTGATTAGCATACAGTCCAAAGTTGCTTGTAAGTGAGGAAGCATCAGCCCCCTTTTATCTTCTGTCAACGTTTCCCACTCCTCCCCCTTTCCTTTTTTTGTGTTAGCAGACTTCAGGATTAGACAGTCTAGTATTTTAGCCTCTGGACTAGGCAAGACAGCTGAGTCAACATGTGGATTATCAAGGCTGGCTTGGCTCTTGGAGAGTTAAGGTGGTGTTGAGCCTGAATTTGTTTTTTTAACAGCTAGGACAGTCAGGTTACAACAGTTTAAATGCAAACAGACGAGATAGTTTAGGGACACAGCACTGTACCAGGAAGAAAATTAACTCTGTCCCAGCTGAAACCAGGACATGTGCATGTCCTCAAAAAGAATAATTAAGAATAAGTGTATTTAGAGCCTGCTATTACCCCAGCCAGTTAAGTATTGATAGTCTGGCATTAAGAAAGAACAACCTTGTTTTATTCCTCTTTGCTTCTCCTTCCACCAAATTCAACTTTTTTTAAAAATAACTTTGTGTCCTACTTCTCTTTAATCTCTCACATAGGATGTATCAAAATACATACATATATATTATGTGCAACATAAAGAGAGCTCTGTTAATTTAAAAGCTAAATCTTTTGTATTTTTTTAATCTCCAATCATCACTTGACTTGTTAAACTTTTCTATCTTGATTATGGAGTCTGAATGTAATATACATTTGACTTTCAAAGCACACAATTTGCATTTTTAGATTAATATAATGTATTGACCTACCTCATGAAAAATCATAACACATTCACCAATGCTAATGTAATTGGGTTTTGGCTTGTACTGAACCCCTTCTGATTCTCCAGTATACTCTTTTGCATCATTGACTATAAATTTAGAGGGATAAACTGGTGCTTTCACACCTTCCTATCTATAAATACAGAACTGTGGCTCTGAAATTTGCTGCAAGCTACTCTATTTCAGTACAGTAGGTATGAAGTACAATAATATCTATTTTTGTGTTACGATTTTCTAGTAATAATGTTTTATAGTGTTGAGCATCCTGAATTTTCTTTTATTGCCTTTTGTAATTCTGACACCTACTTTATACTGTATTACTCTGATAATTTCACTAAGTAGTAGCAAAGTATTGATAAACAAAATAGAACTAATGAAAAGCACAACAGGATGGAAAAAGGGGCACATGATCTAGATGGACATAGAGGTTTCTTCGAGTTTCTCATCACTGGTAAAATTAAGGTTACCATTTTTCCCTCAGGACTGGAAAAAGTCTATATCTGGAAGGAAATAGCCTATAGAAAAATTGTCTGTAATTACAATCAAAAAGGTTTCAAAGGCTCCCTGGGCACTTTTTGTTCTCTCTCTCTGCCTCTCTCACATTCTCTAATAGGCCTGAGGCAGAGTGCCTGAGGTATTTAGCCAGAGCAGAAATGCCTGGTTGTGCTGCAGAGCTGGTCCTTAATACAGAGGTCACACCTGAACAGGGATCATTCTCCCAGATGTCCCGAGGCCTGGGTGACTCGAGGCATTGAGGTTTCCTCAGGACTCTGCCACTGTGCCAGTGTGAGACAGGTCCATTTCTGCCTAAAGATGAAGAAAAGAAATAGAACCTTAAGGCAGGATTTTAAGGAGGTTAACAAATTCTCATTAATTCTCACGAGAACTTCTTTGCAACCTTTCCATGAGCTGTGTAAAAGATTTTTTTTGGGGGGGGCCTACCTTCTATCATCTTGCTTTTCCATCTGGTAGAATTTCAACAGTTAACTCCCTCAGACACTTGATAGAGTTGAGAGCACGTTGAGAGTTTTGTTTTTCTCAGCTGATTCTTATAATTGTATGGATATCCTGATACACTGTTCATGTGTTCAGTACCCTCTCTTCATTTGACAGAGGATTCAATTGAATTACACTCTCACAGAAGGTCCACTGTGAGGTTTGAATAGACTAAAATCAAATAATTTGTAGTTCTTGTTTAAAAACCTCCTTGTTTTTCTTCTGTGCCCATTTTATTCCTATTGCAATTGTACTGTTAGTCTTCTAATAGTGAACTTGCAGGAAATGAATTGCCAGCAGAGAAGCACAGAAAGCTTCGGAGTTAAAATAAATTTCCATTTAACTTCTAACAAGGTAGGGCAGAACACACATTTCTGTGCAACAAGGTCAAACATGAACAATCTTTCCAGCCTTTCTTCTCCCTCCTCCAGCTCCCTCTTTTATCTGCACACAGGCAAAAAGGTCCAGTTCCCATTTGGATGCACTTGGATAAGAGGAACATGGCACTGAATTCCTGTTGGGTGCTGGGGTTTAACTGCCTTCACCTTAAAATAACAGAAGGACTTGACTCACACTCCTACATCAGTATGCCATCACAGAAATGGAAGAATATGTGGGAAAAAAGGGAGAATGGAATTGCTGGAGATTGTCTAGAGGATAGCAGGATGCACAATGGTTTTGTTGCAGAGTTAGAAGTAGCTAAGCCTCTCTGCTACTCTTAGAAAAGTCAGTTTTATTTTACATACAGAGCTGTAGAAACTCCCTCTAGGGTAGGATTTCTTATGGCCACACTTCTCACTTTTTTCTGCAGGAATAAAGGGGAACCCTAACTCTTTTTCCTGAAGGACAAATAAGAAAACTAAAATCTTGATTACTCTTAACGCTGTATTTTGTATAGAACATGTCTTCTATACATAAATAGTGAAACAGCAGAGTTCTTATTTTCAGAGCTTCTGAGAGAAATAACAGCAAGAACACTTAAAGTGTGAGGTAACACATGATTCTCACCCTTGTGATGTCAGAAGACTGCTCTATTTTTGTTTTGATTGAGATACTGTAGTTTCATAAGATGGAAGAAATATATAAAAATATATATATGCATATATATAAAATGAATTACTGATGCATTAAATGTGTCATAAATATATGCAGTCCAGCTTCCAAATTTAGACTGCTTTCAGAAAGAGTGAAGTGGTACAGTTAAATATGCTTTTTAAGCATAAAATGGTCAACTGCTGCTACGAGTGCCAACATTAGTGTCCTGTATGGGGGTGTTATTAGAATTCCTAATTATGTTTAACACACTAGCAATTCATCCAAGAAGCCTATTGAGTCAGGAAAGAGCCTTTCTGAGGTCTGTGGAAATGACATTGTACCACGTAAGTGACCCTTGGCAGGCTGTCTCCTCCTCTGGTCATTAAGAACTGGGGTGGGAAAACCTGCCGGTGTCCAAGTGGGCTGTGATTCAGCTCTTAACACAGCCCTGAGCAGTCTCAGAATGTGCTGGCCCACACCTGTGACTATTCTGGGTGCATCTGTACTGGCTGAGCCTCTCACAGAAGGTAGTGAAGCTAAAGATAGTTTGTGCCAGTGGAACAGGACAAACCAGACTCCCCACGGGTCATCGTGTGGTCACTGTGCTCGGCACGGCGAAGGAAGGAACGCAGAGTTCAGAAGTTCCTCTCACTGCCAGAGAAAGTTTGATTTATTTATCTAATTTAGGTGTTTCACATGTGATATGGTGATAAATTAGTGATCTTTTCCGCATATTGTTACATGAAACAGCTGTGCAAGACAGTGCTGTGTGTTGCTGGCCTGGAGGGCAAGGCCGACGCCTTTTCTGTTCATAGGGTGGTTTTGTTTGTGTGAGGGTTTGTTTTGGTGTTTTTCTGGTTTTGAAGTCTCTATTTTTCTCAGTGTTTTTTTGGTCTTATTTTTAAGATCATGAAGAACTCTGTGGCACCAGTTATGGATCTTTTTGTCTAAATGGAGGGATTTGTTATATGATTCCTACTGTATCCAGTCCATTCTGCAGGTCAGTGAAACTGAAGTTTGTGTGTCTAAGTGTTGGACAGTAGCTGTCTAAAGACTATGTCTCCATTTTGTTTCTTTAGGAAATCACTGTTAAAATGTCATCTAAAAGAAAATATCTATTACCTATTACTTTCCAAGCTTGTAGAGCCGTGACAATATGAGACAAATAATTGTGTATACTTGGTTTATACTTGCTTGGCAGGTGCACCAGCACTCAGTTACGTATGCATTCAGGATGATGTCTATATTTAGAGCCACGTCTCTTCCCTCATTACAATACAGAAAGAACAAAATACCCTTTGCCTCATGGAATATAGACTGTAGGAAAGGCATTCAGAAAGGCAAAGTACATTCCCAGTCTTTCTTACAGATGGATGATATTACAAACATTTTTGTAACATAAAATGGCCTACCCTGAACAAAACAAGGAGGCACAAAAAAAAATATGATCTTTTAAGGGGGAAAAAAAAAAAGACTGTAATTCAAGACTTACTGTGTTCTCTGAATCTTGCTGAAATACTCAGCTTTCCAGTGACAGCCAAAGACTACCTGAAAAAGAAACATGAAGGCAGCAAATACAGATACTTCCTACATCATTCCATAGCAGAACCATTCTTCTCTCTGAAACCCATTTAGCACACTGGAAAAGTAGCAGTTCCTGGTTTTGCATGTGGATACATTTCCTGCATGAATACAGCCCTATCTTTTTATTTTCTCATTTACCAAGACATAAGATGCTAAATGAAATTCTCATTTTTCATGGTTCATTTACTAATTCTGAGTTATCATTCATCAAAATAAATTATGATTGATTTAACGGGTTTGCTTAACAAAATAATAGGCATTCAGACAAATATTACATACACTTAAGGATATTACCTTTTTTGCTTCTATGGCAACTTCTGCTCCCTCTTCCATCTTGAGCTATAACTAATGATAACTGGATAAAACAGTTGAAGAAGGGAACAAAATCTGTTCCCAGATGCCTAATTAAAATATCTCTTTGTTTTGTTTGGGACAGTTCAATTTAAACACTAAAGCTCAAGCATGTAAACTCATTTAGTTAGATGAGGAGAAAAGAGACAGTTTTGTGATAAATGCTCATTGAAAAATATACACAGCAGATCACTGTCATTGTCCAGTGTCACAATGAATCACATCCAGAAGGGAGACTAGAGCTCCAAAGTGCTGGATGATGGTGATTTATTCTCTGCTAAACCTTGCAAGCTTGTGTGATAGAAAATGAATACCACACACACAAAAAGTGAAACATTTTGAAATACATGCTGGTTTTTTTTTTTTCTAGAAGGAATCCCATATTACTGATATTAAAATACCTAAATGAAAAATGAATGGTTAAACTAAATAGCATCAGTTACACAATTTCAAAGCCCCTTCTCAACTATTGCTAGGCTGCGTAACAAGGAAGATGTATTTGATGCAATAACTATAAATGTGAAGTAACAAATCCTCAGAACAATTCATCCTTCAGGAGCACAAACTAGTCAGCATAGATAATTTCCACTTTAACAGCTCCAAATGAAGTCATTTGCAGTTCAGGTGCTATAGGATTTTATAATCTGCTGAAGCAGAAAAGTAACATCCTAAGAGCATTTCTGTTATACTCAGGCAATCTTACTGCATTTAAATTATCAACTATTTTTTTTTCCGTATCTAGCGATTGATTATGAAGTTAGATGGTTTAAATAGCAGCATTCTATTTAAGCATGTCCTCATTCTAAGCATGTTCCTTAATCAGTCAGAGAAGGCTAATTATAGATGAGAAAGGTTTTGTTTACACACAGATATCTTAGTAATCAGCAGTGATGTGAATAGAAACAACAGAAAAAATGCATCACGATTCAGCAGAATTCAGGAAATATTTGGTGCTTTGGAACTTCAGGACTGGCATCATCACATGGCTGCACAAAGTTTCTTTGATGGAGGTTTCTGCCAAATCCCACCCAAAGCTCCCAAATGTTCTCAAATGATCATCTCCCACCAAAAGAAAACTCAAATCACTTTTAGACTCAAAGGCTGGATGACTGATAGTTAAAAGGGGGAGATGGAGAAAGAACAGCCTAAAAAACTGTAAAAATACCTTGAAACACATTTGCCTTGACATGCTACTTAGTTACACCAATGTGTTGTGCTAAACATAGTCCAGGTTACCTGATGCAACGTCATTGGAAGTAATTTCGCCACAAAACTAAGGAAAATGCATCAGTCTTTAGAAATATGTGGGTTTATGCATGCTAACAAATTAAACCTTTGGAATTTAAGTTATTTTAATCATTCAGAAATGGACATATACAAGGTAGAGATTTAATAGAAACAAACATTAATTGACCCCCCCTTCCTGTGCAACATTAGCAGATTTTAAATACAGCTGATGTGTGCTGAAACATGAAGTTGCTCAGCTGCCATCTTCCCTCACTGCTTTCCTAACAATGAGTTAACGTTCTCAGCAGCAAAAGCACACCTGGCACCATAAACCAGATGAGCTTCAAACCCAGGAACACTTAAATGTACTAAATAAACAGGCAGCAGGACAGAGAAGGATGGAAAAGCAGCTGCCTCAGGTGTCTCAGGAACCACAAGGCTGAAAGCATTTGCCTCAGCACCTGATGGCAGCTGCCCCAGAAGCATTAATTAATGCAGGGCAGAACAAGGAGATTTTGTTTTCTGAGGGGGAGCTCTGGTACTTCCATTTTTTTCTTACACTTGGCAGATTTCTGAGAGCATTCTTCTGTGTTTCAAACAAAATACAGATGGCATAAGACCACACAAACATAGCTCCTCTGCTTGGGAGGGCAGTACACACAAAAACAACAGTGAATGCTCTCCTTATGTCTTTGAAAACTATTAGCAATCAGAACTACAGCTGGAGATATGGCAAATCTTGCCACATAAACACATAGTTAAGGGAGTTCTAGGGAAAAATAATCAATTCTTTCAACTTCTCTCCACTAGGAGCATTTTCTTTTACTCTCTTTGTATATGAAGTCATCTTCAGAGTAACAGTTTTGAAACTCCCTTAAATGCAAAAATGTTTAAAAACCTGCTTAGGGCTTCCAGTTAACTTTGCTATTGTTTATTCACTTCAGCTTGAAATTCTTTTTCATACTTACTAGATGTCCTTACAGTGTATGGATTAAGACAACTTTCAGGAGCCTGCTACAGGCTGAAGATTATGGTGATTTTGAAGCTCTCAGCCATGTAATCTGAGTTACATTGACAAGCAGATAATTTTTCAGCTTTTTCTGCTTAGAGCTTTGTATTTCCATGCAAGTAATTTTGATACCAAGAAGCACCCAGGATTTTTCTGACTAAAGGAAGACTAAATGAAAACTAAAGTCAACACCCTTACAGTGTAATGCAGTGCAATGAGAATCCAGGTGCATATTTGACTCAAACTCTACTTCCATTTTTAAAGTCTGTCAGATACTTCCTTATGTTGCCCACCTGGGAGTCTGGCAGAGAAAGAAACCTCTCCTTGTTACTATATCCCACAGGCAGAGGACCCCTTGCTCAGCCCCATAAGAGACAGCAGTAGTGCCTGCTGTTATTGCAAGACCTTCATGCTTCTGTTTTAGTTACTAATCAGATTTTAGGGGAGCAATAGAATTGCAGACCCACCCAATGCAGTCTATTTACTTCCACTTTGTACTGATGCTGACACGGGTGGTTTGGATTAATATCCTATGCTGAAAGACTCTCTGGATTTCTTTACCTCTGCTAGTGTTTCGTCTGTAGCACAGCTCCTGTAGTATGTTTGTATACAACAGTTTCAGGCTGGCTCATCTCGTCTGACAGGAGGCGTGGGGGTGTGTGCATGTGTGTGCAGGCACCTAGGAGAGCACAAATCTGGATGCTTTCTGAAAATGGGAGGTTTCAGTCACAGATTTCCCTCAAACATCGAAGGTTGCTGTATTTCCACTCTGATTGAATTAGAAATTCTAATTTCTTAGAGGGGGGAAAGACCTCTTTTCCATTTTAAAAATCAAGTTTGGGATGCTACATAGTAAGACCATTTAGGCAACACAGAGCACGTGCTGAGGCAGCAGACCCACAGCATGGAGGTGATGTTCTGCAGCAGCTACACCTCGCCTAGGGAGCACAAGACTTAATGAGTCTTATGCTCTTAGTCCAGCCTAGAACCAGGCTGCTCTGGTTTTGCCCCAGTTTATTCAAGTGCAGATGCACCAGTGCCTGCCCTATTAACAGCTGCTCCTAACCTGGGCTCTACTTTTAGGCATCCGTTATAAACAAGATAAACTAGGAGTTTATCTTAAAAGCTGCTGGCTTTTAAAGCTGTGTCTAGTAAGCCTGACTACCTCTAGAAGGCATGAGATAGATGCCATGCATTATGTTCATGGCCCATGTGCTTGATAGACACTGTGTTTCTGACTTGCTTGCAGTCATTGCATAAGTAACTCCACTGAAATTATTAGAGCTCTGCTACAGGATAATAAGGTCTTTTGAGTGAGTTCCACTGCTAATTATAGAAGTCTGCTTAGTTTCTCACCAATTTTAGGAAAGGACTTGCAGAAGAAACCTTTCCTGGTTGTCTTAAAGCATCAGTTGCCTTCACCTCTGTGTACATCAGGACAGGTAACTTCATAAAAGCTCGTGAAAGCCAATATTTGAACATCTGGATTTTCAGAAATGCCCTGGCTGTAGCACAGTTTGTTGCTAAGGTCACATTAGCTATAATTTTGTTTATTTATATGTAACCCAGAGGTACCTCATCGCAATTTTCCTGTTTCTATGAAAACCTACATAATTTTTAGGTTTTATGGCAGCAATTTTTACATAGCTTGGAATCACTTTGAGCAAGTGTGTCAACAGCTCAGCCTAGTTTGTAATCCCTGATCCACTTCACACAGTTAAACAGATACTATCAAACTAGCCAGTCATGAAAAACATGTTTCTACAACTTGTTTTTGTTACATCCATGCAGAAGAGGTTCAGCATCCAGGATGTTTAAGTTTTGCATGTGCTTTTTTCAGTGCAGGGATTTTTCCCGTTGCTCTAACCCTGCATTCATATTGCTGTAGTTTTCCCCTCAGAGTCTTAGGCCTTCAAGCTCCTTTCCCTCTTAAAGGCTTGTGACTACCTCAAGCATCTGGTTGTGTTTTCTATTTAGTAGGAAGTGCTACAATCTCGGTGAGGTTTTTTCTAGGCTGTCATCACATTCCCAATTTTTTTTCCCGTGGTCTTTTGCAGCACATGAATACAACTTCTGTGCACTGATCATGTCACCTCTACTTCTCACAACAGTTCACTAACCCTCACCTTTTACCTGATCCTGTGTGCAACTCTCTGCAGCAGGACTGTCTTTTCTTCCTCCTGCTTCATTTGACTCTTTAGGTTACTGACTTACTCCCTTTACACTCGTTCTTTAGAACTTTTCCATGAGCCTTAATTTGATGCCAAAACCTATTTATTTTTTTTCCTTCCTGTATCATTTTAGCCTTGCATTATTCTCCAGTTTCCATTGGTATTCAAGAATACTTCTATGAATTTCATATTCCATTTTCTATCCCTGTGACTCTATTCAGCTCTCCAAAGCATTTCTCTCTCACTTGCTAGAGAACAATGCCCCACTCAAACTACACTTCTATCCTTAAAGTATTCTACAGTATTTCAGAAATAGGCCACTGAAAAGCCACTACACTTAGAGTAAATATCTGGAACATTATCTCAGGCAATCAGAGCAGTCTGCCTGCCCTTGCTTCTCCCAGCAGTGACACATCATAACTTTGAAAAGTCTCCCATTGTCCTTGGCAGTTTGATCAGCTGCACAGCTTTAATATATGATGATAATTAAACAGATTTTTTTTTTTTTAGTGTCTAAATCTTCCATTATATTTCCAAAGACAAAGAATTAAAAGAAAGGGTAGTAATTCTTTGTGGCTGAGACCAGCAGTACTGAAATACTGTCCATAATGTAGAGAAAGTGGAGTCACAGTGAGCCTCCACGTTGGAAAGCTCACAGGGATCCTTTTGTCTTAGTTACATGTCCCAGACATTTCTCCTTTTTGGCAGTTCCTCCCCACTCCCCCTTCTTATCCCTCATCTGAAATTATACCTTGCAGCTGCCAATGGCAGTGGAGAACTTCAAGTATGCTACAGAGTTCAGCCCATTTCTCTCAGCTGGAGCCTCAAATTGCTTATGTCACAGATTATTATGACTTCAGTGCCAGAAATAGCAAGAAGGAGCAAGATCTTTAGTAATACAGAGGGAAGCAAATTTACATATATCAAAAATACATGCAGAGTGTAGATACTGAAAGAAGTGCTTTCCATTTTCTGTACTGCAAAAGAAAACTTAGCAGAGTAAGTGCAAAATACAAGACAAATGAAGATTAGTTTAGCTTCAACCTATCTATTTTTGACTGAATGTGAATTACTAAGCCATCACTTCTATTTATTTTTAATAAAATATACCATTTTACCTTTCTTCAGAAGTTTTCAGAGGCTCAATACATAAAATAAGCATAGTAGAGAAGACTTACCTAGGTCTCTCCAGGAGAGGGTTATTCACCAAGCACGTAACATGTTCTGGCATGAATTATCACACTGCATAAACTACTTCTGCAATTTAAGGTGTACCGTGTCTCAATGAATTCCCATTTCCTGGATCTATTTACCTGACAGCTCTTCAACAAAGGAAGCTAAAAGTTACATGAAAGGGAGAAAAGAAAGCATGGCTACTGTGTGAGAACCAGTGGGATGACACAGTTAACACTAGAGAGGTAGATTTAATTAATTAAATCTGTCAGTAATGAATATACTAAATTTAATATATGAAAGCAGTATGGATCAGAATGTAAACTTGATGCCCAATGTGCCCAATTCCCTTTGTTCCAGAAATACAAGGTGAGAGGAAATTCCCTAAGAAGAGTTGCTGCCCAGCAAATACAAACTTTGAATTATGTCATAACAGTTCTCTCCCCACTTAAGAGCAAAAGAAGCCTTTGACAAGTTACCATCTAATCCGAATACCACTTGGTTTCCCAGGTGTATTGAGCATTACACAGGAGCCCGTTGTGAGGAAGTTTTGCTGCCCAGCATCAAGTCCCAAACAAAAGGTGACCTGTTTGCAGCTTTCTTGGCTTCACTTCTTCTTCTAGGAGTTCTTGTAATTGGAGCATTCTACTTCCTTTGCAGGTAAAAGTGCTTCATAAGGCTGAAGCTGTTTAATCAAGTAGAAATTTCTTCTGGTAATCATGTACTAATTATCTGAATGTAAAAGCATGTAATGAATTATCCATAAGGTTGTATGGTTATTCAACATAATGAATGTGGGTGTCTCAACTTGTTGCTTGTAATATTTCACTTCCTGGCTTAAAGTTTTCTCAGTGTCTTTTCTAAGCTATTACTTACAGTTGCTTTGTAAAAAATACAGGTAGTACACCCATGTTTGAGATCCACAGTCTACCCAGAGTTAGTGCTAACCTTTAAAAACTTTATGTTGTCTGAAGATTGAGAAGTAGAAGCAAATTGATGAAGTGCTTAGGGAACAAAAACTGTTCCCACTGAGCTGCCAGCCAAAGCAACTGGTGCCATTAGCTCCTAATTCCTCTACAGCTCCTGGTCTAAAAAGGAAAACTAAGGAAAGAATGAAAGTGAAGAATAATCCCAGGCAGATACTTCCTAACTAACATTTTGAACAAAACAGAGGGCTAACTAATTTGTCCAGGATGATCCATGTTAGAGTAGCAGGAACATGTCAGTGCCAGACAGCAAGTGCTGCAGGTTTGGATTTTGCAGCATTTTAGGCACATCAGGACTTGGAATGAAAACACACAAGCAGCTATTGGGATCAAAGCAGCTATTTGATGCTGTACATGTGTCAGTACACTTAGACCAAACCCAAACAAACTTACTGTTTTCACTTACTCTCTGCATTTATAATGCAAGTCAACCTCCTTTATTTTTAGAATACAGCACTTTTTATAAGAGCTTATTTTGTCATACACCATTAATATGTGTTTATGCCTTTATGAGGCAACTTACATGAGTCCCTGTAATTCTTGGCCACCACAGACTTGCAGCCTCTTCCCCTTTCTCCTGTACTGCATTTCTCCTTGGCTGTGATAACCAAAGGTTCTTGCAATTCTGTTCTTTGCTCTCCCACAATCACATTGCCAAATCAACCTCTCTGATCAGTGCCTTTCAATGAGCGACCTTTGGAATAGCTGGGCTAGTTTTACCTCAGCTGCTGTCATGGAAACCCACTGAATGCCAGTTTTTCCCACAGCTGAATGTATTTAGAAGAGATAGAGAGCATTTGATACAACAGTTTGTATAAAAACCCCCTTGTTGTAAAGCATACCCCCCACCTTAGTAATTTTAGTTAAATTACTCCTGCTTAGCCATGGAATGCCACAGCAGTTCTTCACTAAAGAACATTTGAAGATTGCCAAAAAGTTATTAGAATACAGCTTTAACTAACTTGAGAAAAATTCATTCAAGTGTCATACAGGCAGTATTTCTTCAGAAATAAAATTGTCTCCAAGAAGAGAGCAATCTGTTAAAAGATCCCTTTCCTCTTGCATACAGCAAAATTAGGGGAAAGCTGGAGACACAGTCTACTGAGTGTCATGGTCAAAGTACAGAATCTTAGAGTGACAGCAATGACAGGTCTGTGCAAGTTCTTTTATTAGACAGTTGGAAGATGAACCTCACCTACCCTTCACTCAGGCTCTGTCTAACTGGCAGAACAAGTAGTAATGCCTCTTTATTGGAAAAATAACTCAGTCTTAACATAGTTGCCCTTGAACTTATCTTACATACCAGACTAGCTTGGGAAATCTCATATAATCATTATCAACTTCTTTAGTACAGATAAAAGAACCTAACTGGCTCAAAATTGTCTTGTCTTACCTTTACACTTCTGAGGCTGATGTAGGATGATCATCTGCTAGAGAACTCATCTATGCAAGAAACACTTCACATCTGTAAGTCCTTATGTCTTGACTGAAATGACCAACGTGTGAGGAGTCTCAAGTGGATACTTTAATCTACTGCTCTCTTTTCAGCTGTGTGAATGAGGATTATTGCCAGCAGCTGTCATTAATCTGCACTTTTTTCCCCTCAAATTTGATCTATCACCTGTATCCTATCTTAGAAGAGGGTGAAATTAGGGTTTCTAAGAGTTAGCTGAGAGTTGCATCATCTTTGGCTTGTCCTTGACAGGATATGTTAAGTTTAAAATGTTAAGGAAAAATACTGTTTCCACTGTTATACTTTATTAACAAAGATGTTTGATCCACAATCAGAAAGCAGAGTTTTTTCCCCACTATTGTGTTTTATTAAGCATTTCCATGGCCCTTTCAGCAGAGGGTTCTAGTGGGGTTTTAGTACAAACAGTAATGCAACCTGGAGGGATGCAGAAGAGGAGATACTACTGGAAGTTCAGGACAAGGAAAAGGAATCCCTAAAATTACACATTAAATCTTTTAGAATTTAGGAAATCAGTTTTGCTCTGTTTTCTTGTTTGTATCATCACTTATACCTCCCTTCCTTTCCAAGTTGTCTTTCTCTGAGGCTACTTGGGACAGATTTGAGGACCAAGCACATGCAAGTGCATTTAATGCTCCCTAGAAACAAATCCATTCAGCCATACAAGCGTGGAGAGAAAGGGTTTCAGTGCTCTGCTTATAAAACTAAGTCATAACTAACAGTGAAAGAAACCCATAAAAGAATAGGGCTGCATAGGAAAGCTCTGGGTGAGCAGTGGGAAATAATTCTTTTTACATTTAGCTGAGTCATCACATTTTTATCAGCTGATGATTTATTTTTTTCAGTCTGCAGAGTGCAAATCCAGATGCAGGTGCTCTCCACCTTGAAATAAACACCCCTCCAACAAACAGACTCATAAAGTCTGTCTTTCTGACATGGGCAAAACAGGAAAGTCTGCAAAAATCCCTGCTATTACACTGGTACTGGGTAACAAATGGCATATTTTGCTTCCAGCAAGTCACCTGTCAGACCACATCCATCTGGCCTTCCTTCCTCCAGAAACATATTGTCCAAGGGTTGCTGGAAGAAGAATAAGAAAGGTGGCTGATGACTATAGATGGCACATAAGCCAGCTTTTATTTAAAAGCAATACAGAAGCCTAAATGCCACACACAGAGCTTAGAGGAACAGAACAAAGCCTAGGGAAAACTAAAATAAATCTGCAATTCATTTCTATATTTCACTGTAAGTCCATGTTGAAATGCCAAATTACCTGTAAGGTAAGTGCAGTGTTGATGAATGGGATCTCAGCCAGCCAAAACTACAGGGTCTAGGAATAAAGCCACCTGAGCTGTCCAAGACAACAGACTTTGTGGAGGAGTTACATCACCACAGGACACAAACTGGACAGAACAGAGAAGAGCTCATGACTCTTCTCAAGAGAGCAGATGTCTGATTACTATTAAAAGAAAGGGAACAAGACAGCAAGAGGTCTTTACAAATCTTTACAAGATTTGTGTCTCCTCAACAAAGCGCGGAGAATTTCACATAATTTCCAAACATCAAGAGAATTAATAATAAATTATTTTGTGCTGTCTACTAATTGCTTAAATAAAGAGCTGAGAAATCAGACAAACAGGAACATTAGGAGAGAAGCCACATAGTTCTGAGCGCTCTACTGGCCTCTGATCTCCGTCCTTCTCCCTCCAATACAGGCTTCTCACAAACACTGACTATTAATTAGACAGGAATCACAGGAGATCCGTGTCACTTTTTTCAATGGACATCATTCAATTAATTTGTCTCCTCCCTGACAACTTTTTTCACTCTGTGTGTATTTTTTTCCTCTCTCTGTTGTCTGGTTTTTGTTTCTTTTGGTCAGAAAAGTTTCCATTCCAAGGACAAGTTCCTCAGAGTGTGGTGCCAACCTAGTTGAACCTACAAGCAGCAATGGCTGCAACAGTGAGTGCAATTTAAAAGTTAAATGACTGGACTCCACGAGGAAAGTGGGGGAGGAAGTTTTCCTTAATTAAAGGTATGTGTTTTGTTTATTTTTCAGAAATAACAACAGCATAAAGCAATTAAGTGGAAGAATGGTGGGAAAACAACATGCAGAGCAACCCTAAGAACACAAGTTGTAGAGGATGATGTGGTGAGCAAGATGAGAGAAGAAAGCAAACTGAAATAGGAGGCTTATGTGTTGGAGAACACTGCAACTGAGACATAAACAGTTGCACTTAATGGCATTTGTATGTATTTTTAAAGGTGCATCAATTATACAGAAATCACTATAACTTGTTTGAATTTTTTGTGAGATTGTTTTATGACAAGTTACAGTTTTCAGTAATGCCCAATGAGAACTTTGGGGTTTACTACATGGGAAATGTATGAAATATATTCAATATTTTTTTCACTGCACAGAGAATATGAGATAAAAACAGGGGTTTAGCATGACATAATACTATGGATTTTTGATAAGGGAATTTTGTTTGACTGTCTTGATTCAATAGTTTCAAAAGTTGTACTACTGATACATGTCCAGAATTTGGCTTGTTTCAGACACCCTTAACAGATGTAGGGGGGAAAAAAGTACCTTTCTGCCAGCTAATACTCTTTCTCTATTTTTCTTTTTAATCATAAGACAACATGAGGATGAGGTACCACTGCTAGTGTATTTGATTTGAATTTGAATGAAAAGAAAAGAGATAGGTACTGGTTAAAAGAAGTTTAGGCAGAGAATTTACGCTTTGTTTGCTCTACATCCCTAATATTAAGCAAGACATTTTCCTTGATGGGTTTATTTTTGTCTTGCTTTCTTCTGAAACTCTCACTGCTGAGGGAAATTTAAACCTCGCCTTAAGTTTTCCGGTTGATATTCAGATAGCAGAAGCCAGGAATTTTATTCATCAGGTCAATTCCTGATACAAAATATCCAGACAGGTGTCTTGGCTGGAAAAGTGCTGCCCTCTCTAAAGATTTATTTCTTTTATTCACATAACCATTTGTTGATCCCACCAGTACCTCATATATCACACTCTGGTTCCTTACAGGATTCTCTCAGACAAAGAGAGGCCAAATGACATGGTCCATGTCCCTTTTTGCCTTGACAACACAAAGAGAATGGTCTGGTTAGTCAGAGGTGTAGAAAATGTGAAATGAGCAGCTTTCTTTTCAAGTTATTTCTAGCACTGGGGGTTGAAACCAGCAAAAATCAAATATGTTTCCATTTTTGCACATTACTCAGCAGGTCATTATATGGGATTTTTAAGGTTGTACTGAGGGGAAGATTAACTGAGAAAACTTCACGAATTGAAAGGAGAGAAAATGTAGAACAGAGATTTCTTATCTCTGAAATAAACAACCTGGAGTTGTGTAAAATCACAGGTGCAAAGAAAATGCTGAATAAGCTCCTATTTCTGGGATGCTTTACTAAGGCTCTGGTGTACTCTGTATCAGTGTAGACAAGAGTCCAGTGGGGCAGAGAAGGAAAGCCCTGTTATAGGGTGCAAGGTGAGGAGTCAAAGGGAAAACTGTGCTATAATAACTACTAGAACACAAACCACAAAAATTCATTACCTTCCAAGGACTCATGTCAGAGAAGTCAGAGTCCCAGTTAATGCTCAGCATCTGAAGGGAGAATCTGAGGGCACCAAATCAAGTACAGGACCTGATCCAGAGATTAGGTTATATAAAGCACTAAAAGATCACTTTCTCCCCAAATTAACCAATCTTCTATGTTATTTTCTGGACTTCAAACCTTTTGCAGATAAGCTGAAGGAAGCTGGGAATATTGTCTTAAAGGCTAAGAAAGAGAAAAGTGATTTTTCATCACACAGGGACATGTCACTGTTGTAGAGAGAGCTCAGGGGATGTGTGGCAGTACTGAGAGCTCCATCAGAATCACTGTCACCTGAACTTTGCACATCCTCAGGGAAAACTAATCAGAGACAGCTGCTCTCAGATAACTTCAATATGTTACTGATCCTGAGACAGTCAGACTTACAGTTTGGGATACCATCTCCACTGAAAAAGGAAAAGGCTTGTGGTCATCTTAAGTGGAAATTCAGGAAGGAGATATTAATAGAAGATGTAAGAAATAAATGGGCTGAAGTTGTACTGTATAAACTCTTAGAATCCCCTCAGCTTTCTAGACAGATATGGAAGAGTTATTCCCTGTTACCAAGTGTGTTTGCATTATTTGGGAAACAGTTTGTACAAAAAGTGAGGCTGAATAAACCAAACCCATGTTTAAATGCAAACAAGGTGATTTATGGAACAGTGCTACCTGTGAAGGAAATGCTATTAGCAGTTCAGACTGCCTCAAACCCATTGCACCTGAGAACATTCCAGCTTCCAAAATTAATGGGCTCAGTTCACAAGCTTTGTGACTGTGACGTTCAGATCTAAATGAGATCAGGCTACAAATTCATTTTAAGGTGGTCAAATGCCACAGAAAGTACAGGGTAGCCAACATTATATGTAATTTCATAAAATAGTGCAGCACTTTGTAGCAATGTTTGCTTACAAAATAAAGTAGCCCTGTGAGCAATAAAGCTAAAGAAACACCAGTTCCAATGGATCAGATATTGTGGTTGGAGTCACTGGAGCATAAAATTACATGTTTATGGAGGGGTGAGTAATAAGGGCTTTCTCTTGTCCATTTGACTCCCATTTCCAGGAAACACAAGATCTCATGTCTTTAAAATTACCTCTCCACCAGCTGGAAGGTTATGAGGGAAGAAAAGTAGAAAAGGCTAATTTCCTAAGAAACTCCACTACTATGATTACACCACAATTTATTATAGTGTTATGGCAAAAACTCTTTTATACCTGAGGATCACGTCTTCCTTTCAGAATCTTGTAGTAAAAGTCTCTTCATAAGGTGTTGCAAAAACCTTTTGATCACTTGCAGAACAAACTGACAGCTATTAGCAGGAAGTCTCTTTATAGACCTAAGGAAGAGGTTGCTTATATGTTACAGTATATAATTGTTCTTCATTAGCAGCCCAAACAAACTCTGGAGTAAAGTACAGTTAAAGGAGAACGTGAAATGGCTTTTCAAAGAAAACAAGAGGATTTTCTCTGTGCAAGTCTTTTGATTTATAATGTTAAATATTAAGCAGGAAGACCAACAGAAAGTCCATTTGGTAACACTTCCCATTTTAAAGGTACCTTCAATGTTGTGCAACTCCTTCAAAATTTACTGCACTAAAAAAAAACCCTTTTCCTTCTGGCCCTGCATTTTTGAACAGCTGGGGAGGGTCTCTGACTGTGTGACTCTCTTTCCTTTGGTATTTAGCATCCTTTTATTTAAAGGACATCAAGCTATTTCCAGCAAAAACTGAAAAGACTGGATAAGTTTAAACCCAGGGGTTTTTTCCATTTACTTTCATTTTTACTATGACTATATTCAAACCCAAGGATATTCATGAAGATTTATCAGTATAAGTTTGGGAAAAAAAATGGAAGCAAGTTGTGTAATGATTCCCTGGCAATATAATTTAGATGACCGGGGTGCAGGTGTTCACCATGCCTCCCAGTTACAATGTCTGTTGACATCTATATACTTTAATGAAGAGATAGAATATTCCTATATCTCAGATTATATGGAATAATCAAAAGAATCCAGACATAAATTGTTTGGGTTTTGTGGTTAAGATTAATGAAAAAAGGGATTCTTCATTTAAAGGACTGCAGTATTTCTTGCACTTTGGGGGAAATGAGCAAAGAAAAAAACCCCTAAACCTGTGTATGCCTAAAGATGTTATAAAAACCCCCATAACCCAAAACCTTCTTCATTATTCTATGTAACATTATCTGCTTATGCTTATTCAAAGTCTGTTCTTGCTCTCCTTCTGACTGTAACCTGTTCAACATCATCTATAAGTAAGGCATGAAGTCAGTTCCTTGACAGCAGAGCACCAAATACAAATTTTGTCAAATACCCATAGTCAGGCTGCTGCTCAGTTCCATCTTTGGGACTGACACTCCACAAAACCTTTCACCAGGAATCATTTCTAGAGCGAGATAAGGGATGTAAATAGAACCTACAGCTGCAGAACCTGAAATAACAAGAAGATATTGCTGTTTTCATCCCCCAAATTAAAGCTGCAACCAATTTTTAACTCTTCTCGATGCACCTCTGTGTTTGTGTAACATTTGAACAGTCCTTTTCAGTGTTCATTTTAAAAGAGACTGTTTTCAAATTACCTTCTCAATGCAAGTAATGATATTTCATCTAAAACTTTGTGCAGGCACATGATGGGCTGTAAAAAGGTAGCTGAGCATCCACTGGTGGCAGTTTGTAACAGGGCTGGGTGGTTTGAATCTATGTTGTTCATTCTCCATCACAGAAATTGCTGCTGTTTCAAACCATTCAGTCATTTTCACCAGTTCTGGAGATTCTCAGAGAGTTGCTTTTGAGGGGATTAGTGTTTGCTCTCCCTGCTGCCATATTGACAACTCAGCTAAAACGAGCTTATTTTAAAAATAGCTGTTTCTAATTCTTATAGCTGTGAAAATTTGTTGTGCAAAGGTGACATGACCTGCCACTGTCAGTGATGTGAATCACCAAAACATTTATTTTGAGAATTTTGTGCTACCTGCTAATCTCACTGAAGATCTACCTGTGAAATGTAATGAGGACAATTTATACATTGTTTTTTAAAAGCATTTAAAAGGACAAATCCCAATGATTTGGGAATAAATTTGTTCTCTTAAGTTATCAAAACACTTGGGAAAATATTCCAATTAGCTATTTCTCTGCTAATAATTCTAATGTAAGTATCCAGGTGATACCACTTCTAAAGAATCCAGACCTATCTTATGCATTTCCTTTGAGTTTCCAGTTTCTCACTGCAGCTGTTTGTTCTGTTTATAAAAATACCCTACATTGTTCTGGAGTGCTGGTGGGCAGAAAACAGTCAGTACAAGGGCCCTACAATGCTTGAACTTGTATTGTTTGACCTAAACCAGTGGTACAGGACCCCCACCAGCAGTGAGCTTGGTTTACCTTCCAGCCTGTAGTTCAGAACACCCTCAGGGCTCCTCTGGAGTCCTTCTGGAACAGCCTCTTCTGGAGTCTGCATCTGGCTGAGAAATGGGCTTAGCAACAGGAAAAGAGCTTATAAAACACCACTTAACTGCACATTTACTATCTTTGTAACTTCTAACTGTGCAAACCTCTAGATCTCAAATATTATTTTTCTGTATCATTCCACTGAGTAAAACAGAAGTAGGCATCTGAATGAGAAATGTTTTTTCTGGTTCTCTCACTGGGCCAGACATGAGGCATTCAG